CCCCAAAACCCCAAAACCCCAAAACCCCAAAACCCCGATGGTGATTAATAAGGTTGAATAATAGTCTAAATATGAGGAGAGGAGTAATTATGGCCTTCATGGGATTACAAATATAAGTGGTTGAAGTGTAAGTAGCCCTTGGAATCTCCTAGTCAGATTAGAAGTACTTCTCTCCTAATCCTGTCTCTGTTTGTATCGATTACTCTGGTTTCAAGTACCTCTTGGTTCTTTTGTATACCTTTTACATCCTTCACATCTTTTGTAGCAACGTCTGTAGCATCAAGGTCTCCTTGGTTAGTTTGGTCAAAACTAACACCTTCTGTATTATCCAGGAGACCATTAAAAGTATTCTCAGCAACTAGTTTCTTGACCTCTGTTTTCGAAATAGAATTCAATGCTGTTACTTTACAACTCGTGAAATAAAACCTGAAATTTGATCTATAATTTGAAGTGCGGCTGTATTTTGCATTCAAGTGATAGCCTCATATTTTCGTTACATTAGTCTCTAACCCATCGAAAAAGATTGAATAAACTATGCAAGAGGTCCTTGTTGTAACTATCATGTACTCTTTGTCTTCTGTCTTATATGCCTGGATGTCAATAACCTGTTCTCCATTGTAAGGTTTAAACTCATGCAAGACCTCACTTGTTGCTAAAGAATATATCAATATATTTTTATTTGTAGCCAAGAATAATTTTTGATAATAAGTTCAGGCACAGACAACATTCTTCAACTTTTTAGATTTCTCGATATTCAACTTGTGTTCTTTAGAATCCTCTCCTGTTTCATAATTCCACATTCTCATCTCAAAGTTAGATCCTACAGTTAAGATGTGCTGTTGAGATTTCTCTTCATATTGGGAAACATGGACAATACTGCTTTCATGGTCATTCATGTTCTTAATGCACTCGTCATATTCCAGATCCCAGACTTTGATGTTACTTTCTGATACAGTTATCAATATGTCTCTTTCAGGAATCGTGTGGATAATGTTTACTTTATTCCAGTGACCTTCGTAGACAACTCAGAGTTTTCCTCTGCCAATGTCAATAAGGTACACATTCATGTCTTTAGATCCTAGGAATAGCATATTCTGGTCCTTTCCAAGCCTCATTGAGGTGATGCTCTCACTAGTGAACGACCCAAGATCGTACTTTTTACTGAATGAACCATCTTCTTTCTTCCAAATTCTAAGGTCTCTATCAAAGCTGCAAGAGACAATTTTGTCTTGTTCTAATCCGTTAGTCACCTCAATACAAGCTACCGGGTCATTCCTACGGTTACAGGATAGTTGCATCCCTTGAGAATTGGGATCAGCATTCTTCAAGAAGTTGAACAGAGTGACATACCCTCCCTTATCAGAGATAATTATCTTCGATCCTTCGTAATTCTGGTCACAGTGGTGTAAGTCCTGATCAAAGAAATAGTCCCAAGAATCTGTCTTTTTAAAAGTAGCACAAGTGAAGAAGTCCATCTTGGCTTTTTCAAGTGTAAATAGTACATACTCCTTCGATCTTATCAAGATCAGGTCGATATAGTCATCACTTTTTAAATTCAGAATTGATTCTTCCTTAATGATATGTAAAGTTTCCTGATCATATACAGTAACTTGTCCATCTTTAGAGAATGTCAAAAACTCAGACAAAGAATGATTGATCAATGAAACAATAAACTCATTCGGATTTGTCACATTCAACGACGTTATCATCCCAAGGTCAAAATCTAGCAACTCAAGATAACCTCCCAGGGTCGAAATAAGGATTTTAGACCCATCTTTGTCTTCTAAGTTATCAAGAATTCTTAGACAAGTGATTGGGTCTTTACATTTGTAAACTCTCTCGATTTTTTCTTTCTCAATATCGAACTTGACCAGTCTTTGGTCAGATCCTACTGTGAATAGATAATTGTAGTATAATTTCATGATAGTTCAATCAGTCTTATGACATTGGTAATGAGCAATTTCTCTCTGAGTTGCTAAGTCATATTTTCTAATATATGGGTCATTTCCAGCAGTGAAAAGATACTCATCGTCTCCATCTCCTTCTCCTTCAGGGGAATCTTCCTCAGGTTGGAGGAAGTACTGACAACAGTTTATCTCAGGGTAAGGACTTGAGATGACAGAGAATATCTCAAAGTCAATTCCGCATACATAGATTAGCCCGACATCATTGAAAATAGCCATCCTTCTCTGATCGCTGAAGAGACAAGTCTTGTTGACTGAGAAAACAAATTTTATAATTGTCTCTATCTTGGCATTTTCCCGAAGAGAGTTCTGAAACCCTTTGAAATATGTGTGCTGTTGGTTAGTAATATCAATCCGAAGTTTGTGCATTAGAGACTTTTCTTCCTCTCCGATTAGCCTTCCTCTCAATTGAGTACAGAAATCATTATAGCATAGATCTTCATTCTTAATAGTTTGCTCTATAAGGTGCAATATATTTCTAAAATTCAGAAGCTGGGTTCTCTCTTTCTCGATGATATCTGTCTTATCAGAGCTGAGGATGTATCCGATTTCTTTAATTATGAATTCAAATCCCTTATGATATTTAATAAGCTCAAAAATAGCTCTGCTTTGGAATAAAGAATCATATAGGTCGAAGAAAGTTACATCTTTCTTCTTGTTTTCCAGATCCTCTGTATTATCATTATCTAGATCTTTAGAATCCTTAATGTTCTCTTCCCAGTAATCATTGGAGAAGTCTTCGTCACATTCAGAGATGTGATAAAGGTATCAGAATTTACTATAATGCCCAATAGTTTCTCTTCTAAGGATTCTCACAATGTCATTATGTACGTCAACAGCATTATCGAAGGATCAGAGGTTAGGAGAGGAGATAGTAACGTAAACATTCTCATCAATCTCTTCATCGGAGGGACTCTCTCCTTTCTCTTCCTCTGGATTATCGCTAGGAATCATCCTTTTTCTAAACGACCATATGAAGGCTTTCAATTCATTTTTAATAATGTTCATCAGCTCTTGTTCAGAGATTTCTCAGATTTTTGAGAGAAGAGGTAGATCAATTGGAACTTTAGTTCAGCATAGGACTCTCAAAAGTATGTTGACCTTAGCTGAACCTCCACATGCCTCCATTTGAGACATCAGATAAGCAGCTAGTTTCATGTCATAAGTCTCTAGAATGTCTTTTCCAGGGATTTTTAATGCAAGGAGTTCAGAAAGGTCGAGGATTCTTTCAAAATCTCCTTCGCATTTCTCTTTAACTGCTTCTTTATCAATTTCTTCAGGGAGTTGGAGTAGATCAAGTGCTTTCTCCCCGTAGTTAGTAAATAAGTCAAGCGAGATAAAGTTAATTTCATTAACATCTCCTACTTCAGGGTTGTCATTTAGCAATAAAACTCTGCTAATATCCTCATCATCCACTAAAGAATCATCTGTAAAGGTGAACACAAACTTCAAGTAGATTGGCATCAGAGGCAATGCTTGTCTTGTTAAATATAAAAAGTTCTGAAGGTTGTCCCTGTTATATCCAGCATCTGCTTGGGAAATGACAATCAGAATGTTGTAGTCAAGCTTCAGCTCTCTCAGGGCCTTAACAAAAGTGATAAAGATCTCTGTGTAGTCACGCTTTATGGTCTGAGAATCGTTATAGAAAATATCTTTGCTAATATCCAAGTCTAGCAGCTTGAAGAAAGACAATATTTCAGGTCATTTCGTCAATATTGAGTATATAATGTTCTTTACAATGTAATACGAATCATAAGTGATCTTATTCTGAGGCTGGCAATAGTGAATGACCGAAACCAGATTTTTCTTCGACTCTTCATCCTCTCCTTGCTTTAGAATATGTTGACAGATCAATTTGCTCACTCTTTCAGTGCATCTGAGGCCAAGAATGTTCTTTTTAGAGCTCAAGGTTGGGAATTCATGCTTCTCCTCTTCTTGGTCATTATCTCTGCTTTCTTCTGTCATAATAGTGATAGGCTCAACTTTTGGGGATCGCTTCTTTTTGTTCATATTCTCAATAGATTTTACAGAAATCTCTTCCATTGTTATTTGGGAAGCAAATTCTGTAATAATTTCTTTTTCTTTATTTAAAATTTCATCATGGTCTAGTCGACTGAGAATCTCTTTATACTCTTGGTCTTGGTATCATAGGAACCCTAGACCATTGAAATTCTCAGTTGGCTCAAGTTTGCCCCTAACTATGTTTTCCATATCCTCGTTATCAAGCGCACTAAGGAAATCAATATCGTTGTTCACAAAATCTTTGGTATTTTCAGGACTGGCTGGAGTTCAATCTCCGAAATCTGCTTCCTTCTTTATCAAAAAGAACCTTCTGAGCCTGACCATAAAGTTGTAAAGCACCTTTATACTAAGGAGGTGATCAGATCCTAACTGTTTATGAGTCAATAGAGTGCTGTATCCCCAGCTGATCCCTTCAACAAATCTATATAAGCCGATAACAAGCCCGTAATAAAACACCAGTTCCTTGGTATATTGATTTTGCAGCCTGTCGCTCTTTGAAATCTTATTGATAATAGGGTAGAAATAGTCCATTTCTTGGAGGAGCACTAATGAGTACCTTCAAAACCACTCCTTTCTTCCTTGAAATGCATAAATTTTATCCAAGATGACTCCTCTCACTTGTACAGATAGCTTAGAACAGAGGACTGGGAAGGAAGAATTCTTCACAATTTCTTCCTTATGCTGTTGGGCAGTGTTCATGACATATGTGACTTCATCAATTTTGTATTCAGTCTTTGCATTGTTGGTTAGAAGCATGTCTTTGAATGTTTCGATCTTTTGCTTGTTCTTAATGGCTTCCTCTAATGTCATTACAAGCCTCTCGATGAGGTTTAATGTATCTATTTGGTTATTTAGGTGTAGACGGAATATTGTTTAAGGTATCGCTAGCCTCAACTGTCATGATCAGCTCACGCTTTAGTTGATCGTCTTTAGTATTTACTGAGGAACCACAGCCCATGTTTTAGCTTAATTTAAATATTCAAGATAATCCTGATTAAGAGGGGTTTTGGGGTTTTGGGGTTTTGGGGTTTTGGGGTTTTGGGG